CTGGATTTCCTCAATGAAGGTTGCAGACAGAGATATGAAGTGGGTGGTGATGGTGGCAAACCAAGGAGGGATTTCTCTCCACATCCTTCACAGCCACTGTGGAAAACCTCTCTATTCCCATCCTTGCTCACTGCCACAATAGAAAGCTGGAATGGTTCATGGGTCTATCTAGCTCCAAATGATTTTTAAGGAGGAACAGAAGGCAAAAAAACAGCTTTATCATTCCACCTATCCTGCCTCACCTTTGCTAGCAAGGACCTGGAACCTTTGGGCACTCCATCCTATGCCCAAAGTTTTGGTAAAAAAAGTGGAGCTAAAAATCATATATGGCCATAGGAGTGGGGATACTATTGCAATAGTTACCTTAAGTACACATGAACGAGTGGGAGAGAGAGGGGGAGGGAGGGAGGGAGAGACTTCAGGAACATGTCTGTGTGTGCGCACACACTTTGCTGCTACTGCTAGATTTAATCGGTTTCAGGTAGACCTTTAGCGTACTGTTATAAATAATAGAAGTTACATACTGCACCTTTATAATATCTTTCATCTAAGGATGCCTTATGACTTAATTAAAAGGGACACTGCCAGGTTAAAAACCACAGAGTTTTTTTATTAAGTAATTTCCTTACCTGTATTACTAATAACACTTTCGGTTATTAAGCAGAAACAATTTTAAAAATCTAATTTACTACTTTATGTATTTAGGCAATTGGCTTTTTAAAGCATCTAGAGAAATGAAAATAGCTTGTCAGTTTCCATTTCTGTTCATTATCAGTTCTGCTGCAGTTTTTCATGCACTAGAATGTGGTCCTGATTTTGGATTTTTGAAAAGGACATGTAATTCCAAAGCGAAGAACACAATTTATGTCAAAATGCTTGAGAATTTAAAAGACTATTTATTTATCTCATATTTAGCAAAGGAAACAAAGTTAGCTGAATCGAGCCAGTTTATTGTGAGCAGAGAACCCATGCATGAAGAAATTCCCATATGGTGTAGCACAGCCCTGTTGTTGATCCCTTCCCCAATGGTACAACCCTTTTACCCCGATAGTGCACATGCATTGGTGGGAGCCCTGTCTTTTCCCTATGATGATCCCTGCATGTGCACTACATCCACATGTGATGTACTCATAGAGTATTGGATAAAGCCCCTTGATTAGCACGAGCACTTAGCTTTTACCCAGGGCCATACAGCTACTGAAACATAAATGTTCTGGAAACAATCTGTTCGATCTTGTGATCAGTTAAGGTTTGTCTAACTCCATGATTTAAGCCCACTGGAACTAGGCAGTCTCAAGCTCTGCTACAGGCTCCCTAGGGCAAGGAAAAATTGTTTAGAATAACCCAAGTCATAATTTAAACAACACAAGCATGGATAAAGTATGTGTATTGTGCCCTGCTCTGTGATTAAGTGGAGAAAGGGAAAAGGAGTGAGAAAAGCATTAGGCAAGCCAAACATTAACATAACTCTTCTACCACACAGAGTCAGGCAACTGTCGGGATCAGGGCCTGAGTGACCCTGTAGGTGCCTGCAGAACCAGGAACACCTTTGACGGTGACAGCTGAGCAGCAATTTCACGGTGCAGCTGGAGGCCCTGGAGACCAGCATAAGAGGCCTCCCTCCACTGATGCTCTTTGCCACAGTATCACAAGCAGTTCTTGTGACTCCTTGGGCTCTGGTTCTCTGGACTCTCTCTTCTGGTTCCTGTCTAACTGCCTACCTGCCTTGCTCCAGTCTGTTCCTGCCTATTCTTGTTTCCATCCTTGCCTTCAGTCTGACCCTGATTCCCAGGTACGTGTGGCTCTCCTCCCTGACCTTGCCTTGCTCTTGAATGTGACTGTCTTTCTGGAACTTAATATTTGGAGTACGCTCTTGAGCTGTGGCTTTTGGTTATGATATCTTGTTTGCTTGGATCCATCGTCTTGCTGGCTTTGACCCTGGAGTGTTAAACAAATGTCCCACTTGCTTCTGGCCATCTCAGCCTCCTGCAGGACTCCACCTTGCACCTGCACCCTGATCCTAGCATTCCAACCTTAGCTGCCTGCTACCCATGCCTCAGACCTTACAGCAACACAAGGTGGAGACAAGTTCAGTGTCAAGCACCTAGAAGCAGACAATGGGGAAAAAGCAGCAACTAAGTACAGCCATTTCTAGATGTGCCCAGTGCTAAAAGCAGCAATAATACATAGAAGTGATAACTATGATACACAAATTTTCTCGAGGAGCATGGAATATAACTTAAGTGAACAAAAAGCATCTTTGAAGCAATCTACTATATTATTCACACTAGAATTCAATACAGCTAAGAAGAAGAATCATTTCAGATTTCAAGATTTGTTTTCTTTGGACTTCAAAAGAAATTTGTGACGCATTTGTTAGACATCAACAGAACACCTCTTCGTCAAGGGTAATCTATATAGAAGAGATGAGTATTACATAGATCCTGATGGGACCCAACTGCTGGCATTTAAATTTAAAACAGTACAGTAACTTATAGACTAACACCTGGGGAAAAGCTGACAGGTGATGAGAAGTATCCTCATCAGAATGACTCACTCCTAAGGGACGATGTTTCAGATACGTGAAGTCCTCAAAAATAGAACAGAATAGAAGTTGACAATATGCACAAGGGAACCAATACGAAACAAATCAGTTGAGGTGTTAGATAAAAAACACCCACAAAAGAGAACAGTCAAAAGGCAATGGAATGTATAAGTGCTTATAATGCAAGCACTGGAAGTCTAAAAGGGAGAAAAGGCACAGATGAAGTGCTAAGCGAAGAAAGTAAAACTTTGACTGATCTGGATGTCTTCAGTTTTCAGGGACAATGTCACGTGAGTCAATGCTCCTCCGTCACAAAATTAAAAAAAAACAAACAGACTTTGACAAGGAACACCAAATGTTGTGGATAAAGATAGCCTCACCCTAGGCCTTTGCATGGCTATTTTGTGTATGAACAGGGATTTAAAATCATAAAACAGTAGAACTGGAAGGGGCCTATAAAGCAGTATTTTGGGGATATACAAGAGTGTTAAATCATGCCAGTTCCCAACTGCTCTCTGATGATCTAGCACGGAATCAGGCTAGATCCTTTAGCATGAACCAGGCCATCATCATGCAATGCAAAAAGCTACTATCTGTGTGTGAGTCTGATGCCTTCCAAATTCCAAATCAGGGCAAAAAAGGCATTTTGGGAAACACCACAAGAGGAAACACCATTCCCTTCCTCTCTAATTGCAGATATGTTGAGAACTTTTCCATGGGCATCTAGACAGTTATGCTTGAACACGACAGTTTGGCAGAAAAGAATCTCAATGGAACTACTCAAAATGTGGGGAAATCCTAAATCGTTCCCTTGAGAAAAAATAGGTGAATTTGTTCTACTGCTGTCTGTGTATTAAAATGTAGACTCAAGTAAGTTAGAGCACTGAGGTGGTGCGCAGAAGAAAATCCAAACCATACCAAAAACCCTAAAAATTCTAGGGACCAATAATGGAGCATCTGAGTAGCTATTGACCAGAATGATGGCAGTGATTTTGAAACACAAGGAAAAAGATTAGAGGCAGCAAAGTACAGGATAATGATAATGGATGATTTCAGATGCCACATCATGTCAAAACTGTCATTCTAAGACAAAAATAAAAAATACTGTCCCACAAAATGGGCAATGCCTCTGAGCAGTACATTTTATAATGACCAAAAAAGGAGGCAATTCTTCTTTTTTGATCTAGAAGGGGTTTGTAAAACAGGAGGAGCTTCATACTGGAATCCCAAATTCTTATTGGGAAAACTTATTGAGGCTTTATTTACTTTTGTATTTTTAAAATTGCATTTGCAAACGTTTTCTAATTGGCATTTTGTTATTTGCCTCACTTAGGTACTCAGTGTGCATGCTGAAACTACCATATTTATATGTGCCCGCTGCCTGGCACAAAGAAAAGAGATAGAGGAAAAAGGTAATACTAAAACACGAAAAAGCAAGGACATAAGAAGGGACTTCAAGGAAATAATTTAGAAGTGATGTTCAAGTAATAAGATTTTCATAGCAGCAATTGGGAAAAATCCAAAGCTATCAGAACCAGTTTACAAAAGAATTTAACATATTCTCTGAGGTCTGATTTCCTTATCTCATGGATAGCCTTAGCACACAGTGAAGATACTCACTTAACTGTAACCTGTTCTGCTAAAAAGATTAGCCTGTGCACAATTTCTATCCAGTGTCCCCATTTCTTTTAACATAAAGAGTAGTAACTGCAAGTTGACTATTACCCTAAAATAATCCTGTTATAATACTACATGATAACATTTATTAGGCATGCCAAGTTACACATGTGGAACACACTATTATTCTGTAGGTTTAAGAAGATGCAAGGCAAATAGTGGAAAAACTGAACTCTTTAGTAGCTGCATACAAATGTTACATAAATTCATAGTTTACTGAGACAAAAAGAAATCATAGTGAGCCTTGGGTTCATGTCCTTCCTCCCCTCTCCTTCAGTGGGTGAGAATATTTTGGAAGCTTTCATTCTGGTTTTTCTGTTTTGCCTAAACCTGGCAAACTGTATTTAATGTTAACTATGCTTTGTTTGAAACAAGCCAGATTAAAACCATTGCTTATGAAGCTGTGTTGCTTCAACAAAACATGGCTAACATTAACCACAGATTAGAGTTTGGGCAAAATGCTGATTTGTGATATGCAAACCAAACAATTATGAAAGTGTCAGATGTCCTCCCTATAGCCATGTTGGAAGAGAAGGGATGAGAAGCATGCAAACCTCATGGTAGCTCATTTTTGTCATGAAAAATATAGTGACTAGGTCTGGATATGGTAGGCCATAGTGCATTATCACATGGAAATTTAATATTATAGAACACAGCAAAGTGCAGTGAACATGCAACTGCTGCTATATGTAGCCTTAAAGATCAAGAATGTGCTTTTTCAGTAGAGATCCTCTGAAAAGGGCCATATGACACCTGTTGCCACACATGAAACCTTTACCTCCTCATCTGGCTGTGTCTGCAAAGCTGAATCCACCATTTGAAATTCCCAACATTAGCTTCTGCAGAGCCTTATACCAATTTCAAAATGTCATGCTTCCAGAAGGGTTGCGAAGTCATACTATGGGGGATTCCTCTCTCCAGCATCATCACCTGCTATGGAGAAATAGCTCCTTCACTGGCTGTTACAGCTATAGAATTTCTTATTTCCAGCAAAGGCTTTAATTTCAGGAACTCTCTGCCACATTTAGTCAGGGTTTTCCAAGGTGCTTTCCCAAGGTTTTCCAAGTTATTGCTTTTCTGCTTTCACCAATTCTGTTAGTAACTGCAGGGAGCCATGTTGTTAATGGGGTGGGTTAGAAATCTAATACATACATACATACATACATACATACATACATACATAGTAGCTGGTATAAGAGGCCTAGGCATGAGATGGGCATCAACACTTAAGACAAGATAACTATTAAGCAAGAAATTCATTAATGGGATATTTTGTACATAAGGGATTACTATCACTTACTTTGGTGGTTTCAAAAGTATGCTTAGCGACAATTCTTAAGGACTCAGGGGACAACTCTGCTATTACAAGCCTCTTAATGACTTATTTTACTCCAGGACAAATTCTCTAAAGCTCTACCCCAACCAAATACACTCACAACCAAGTCCACATCTTGGCTACCATCTCCCACTGCCTCCCAAAACGCCTCCTGTTTTATTTCTGGCTGCCTGGACAGAACTTGTGTTTCTACTGCCTAGTTCTGTAACATTCTTCTTGCAAGATCTTGAGGCACCTTCCAGGAATTACCAAGCCACCTGTGCCTGAACTTTACCAGTCATGTATTGTTATCTCACAGACAAATAATAGCCTAATACTCACCTTTTAGCTATTCACTTTCTATTCAGCTTTCTCCTGGTTTTGTTTTAACACCAACCCATCAACTAGCAAACTTTCTCTGTCATACTCCACAGAGAAATTCTCCTGTGGAGAATTCATCAGTTCCTTAAATGCCATCTCCTACTGCTCTTTTCCACATAGCTAGAATTCCCAGCCAATCAAAATTGAATTTATTTGACCGAGGCCCAATCTTCATGTATTTAAAGTGATAATCTCTTACCACCTTCATAACATTTCTAAGCAACTATTATATAGGTCTTTGACGGACGGACAGACAGCCCAGGCTTTCTGTATGCTCATGGAGGCCGCACAAGTGAACATTACATATGCAAGCCATTTTTTTCACACCTGCATACATATGCATGTTGATTCCTTATAATCCACTAATGGCTGCTTCATACATATGTGATACTTGCAACAGGATTGGAATGAGCACAACTTTAAATTCTTATCTTGCTCATATTTCAGAACCTAGTTGCTGCTTGCATGAGGTCCTTTGCACTAGCAGAATGACAAGTTGGATCCTGACCTTAGTCAGCATTGTATAAATAATAACATAATTCATAGAACAGTATCATTTAAACAAAACCCCCAAGCTAACCAAATATGAAAATCAGAAAGGACTGTCAACTAAAGCAAGGTACCACAGAAGAAATAAGCTTTTGCAGCACACTAAAACATCAAATAAAGAGACCAGACTAGAGAATTGCACAACCTGGTTGTCACAACTGACACAGCCCTTCCCTTCACACTATCAAAAATGGAACTCCAGTGGCAATGGGATACATAACAGTAGAAGCCTTCCTAGTGTGCCTAGCACACTTAGCTTCTCATTTTCTCCACAGCTAACCATGGCTCTATTCAATGGCTACTGTTTCTAATTCACCAGGTAAATGACCATTTCTGCCAAATACAGCAACTCTGATTCCTCAGCTTCTCCTGACCCCATTTCCCTTGCTTTTCTACAGTATTAGAATATCTTTATGCACCTCATCCCCTGCTCTTCCCAGAGAACAAAGCTGTTTTTTGAAAGGAGTCTTTCTAGTTAAGAATTGGGTAAATGTTTTAAATAAAATAAATAAGATTTTACAACACCCAAATATCTCTGTCAGCTATAGTTTGTTCTTGTTAAGACTGGCCCAAACTGTGAAGTAAAAAACAAAAACCAAAAACAACACACACAAACACACACACACAAATTTTGTGGTTCCCATAAAAATGAGGCTGGGGTAGAAAAAGGACCTTTTTTTCTTGGCCTTTCTCCCTCACTGAACACCTACTCCAGGCTATTCACAATTTATCCTTGATTATTTTTAGTAGCAGCTTATATACTCATCTGCTGAAAGCAAGGTGTAATTAATTTTCTTTGTGAAATTTCTTTCTGACATGAGTCTTTTGAGACTACAGACATATCCACCACATTCAGCAAGAGTTCAAAAACTGGTCATAACATTTACAGTTAGTAACCTAGAACTGCGGAGGAAATAGTTTGTGCACTATGGCCTACATCCTTAGCTGTCTCTTGTCTCTGGATTTCAATGCAACTGAATAAATATTGATTCCTTTGTCTGCGTATGCTAACACACCACACATTGTCTGTAGCTCTTAGGAGCTAATCCATTAAAACTACACCACATTACCCACAAAGCCAATATCACATTCAGAAAGAATTAAAATGCTGATGGCAGTTTACCTTTAGATACTTTTCCTCTTCCCTTAAGATAGAGTAACAGTACATTTTAAGTGCTGAAACTCTCCTCCATGAAATAAGACAAATTCACACAAAAAGAAAGGTAATTGAAAACTGTTTCCTGGAACAGCCCCCCTTACCTTAACTGAAACAACCAATACATTTTGTAAGCAGTGGAGCAATTCATGTACACTATGGGAATATTTGAACCAACATCTTACAGGGAGTCATTACCACAGTGTGCAAATGACCCAGCAGATCCCACCACCCTTGTGCTAGAATCCAGTAGGAGCTTGTCCATTTGAAAGGAAAGCTAGAAGGCCAGTGGCTGACCCCCTGCTTTGTATTTAACAGGACTCCTGGGTTTATTCACTGCCATGTAGAAACAAAAAATATGCCTGTAAACCATAGGGTTTCCTCAGGAAAGCCAAGGCCTCAGTATTTTTTGGTCCAATCCTGATCTGTATTTTGGGTTCAGCCAAGTTCTGTATTCAAGAGTTTTGTTGTTTTGTTTTTTTTAATTTACAGAGAATATATACATCTTTACATTATACTTTGTTCTTGCTCATGTTGTAGATGACTACCCATGCAGTTCTTCAAGGAAGCTATTGAGAGTGCTACTGCACAAAGGTACAGCACACCCCTGTACTGAAGAAGGGAAAGCAATATAGCAGGTCGAAGTATAAGATGCCCAGATACCCAGAACAAACCAAACATATATTGAGTTCTGTGAAACAGGAGGTCAGGTGGTAAAGCTCAACTGCATGATTTCTACAGATGGCAAGCCAATACACACATTATGTAAAGCTCCTCAAATATGCATATAAACACAAAGATTTTTTTTCTACACAGAAAATGAGAAAGAAGGGTTCTAACATAACTTTCTTTTTGACATGCTGGATTTCAGTGGGTAGATCCATTCCCAGTAGTATTTCCAGTCATCCAGGAGCATGACACAATCTCTCCATTCCTTATGCACTTTCTACTTAGTGAAATATAGCTTTTTTGTTCAAATCAGCACACCATGGTTTGCGCTTGACCTCAAAAACAGAACTGCAAACTGTGGATTGGAATATGTTATGTGTGAATCAACCCCATAGGTCAGGATCATTTTTGTACGTGACAGCCCTGCCCAACTTCATCCAGTGAACTTCAATTTCCAGCTGGAAATGGCAGAGTTGAAACATAGGTATGGCACCTGATCTGCTGTTTTGTGAGAACCAGACATACACCTCAGATTTTGTTTCATTCCCTTACCAACCCTAAAAAGATTTGATTTCCCAGTTGTACTACTAATACACTGCAAGATGCTGGAAAAGTCACTTGTCCTCTCCATGCACCAGTTTCCTTACCTGCAAGTGATACTAATACTATTTAAGTACCTCCCCAGGATGTGCATAAAGCTTTATCCATTAGTGACTTCAAAGTGCATCAATATCCTCAAAAGCCTGGTGCTGGGTAAGCAAAAATAATTGTCAGAGTTAAAGTAGGTCCAAAGCTGTTTCAGGTATTACCAAGATGCTCTGTTGAGGTACATTAAATTGCCATTGTGCTGAAAAAATAATTAACAACCTACATTTTGGGGGGTCCATTATGTGAACTATTTAACTGATTAGTGATTTAGTCAGAACCTTGGAGCAATCAAGGGAGAAACCATAAAACATTAAAAGCCAAGTCTTTGAAGGGCTGTCTTGACAAACTGAGATAAGAATAGGGACGTTTTATTCTGCTCATTAAGGATAAGGAGCATATTAAAGCCAAAGTAATTAGATGTGCTGGTCAAAAGGCATCCCTACTGATGACCTGTCAATGTAACCAAAAATAAGTTTGGAACAAGGAACTGAAAAGCGATTCTTAAGTTTTCCAAAACAGAATTCATGCCCAATCATCCAAGAGGGATACTAAGACTGAACTTTTTAATTGCAAAATAATTTGTAGGCAAAAAAATACATTCAACACGAGAAAGCAAGTTAGTGCTATCAACAAAGGGAAGGGAGCTAAGAGGTGTGACTCTAACTCCAACAGTAATCCAGGAAGCTAGAAATACTGCAACACTGCTGCTTTAATTGCTTTTTCAATCATGTGATTATGTTAACTGTATTATGATTTTTTGATTGTTGTTCTATCTTACTGTTTTGCTTTAATTCACACCAAAAACTACCCTGGTGTAAATATTTTGAAGAACAGTAGATAAATGCTTTAAATATATGCATATATAAACATATGGAGAAATAACATCTTCATTTACCATGCCTGTTTGACACTGCAAAAGAAAAAAAACCTCAAAAATTCAATCATAAGGGTAAATTTTGGACATACTTTCATTTAACACCCAGTTTCAGCTACTTTCAGCTACTCAGTGTTCCTGTTTGCCATGTCAAGTCTCCAACTGTCAATGGAGAAGCAGGGGAGGATGGGGCTGCTTGACCCTTTCCTCATCCATCACTTCTTTACTCCAGACCACCCACTCAAGTTGCTTTGCTCCTGACAACTGAGCTACACAACCTGTGACAGTCCAGGTGACATTCGCTGCAAATCCCCATTATCCCTGACCATTGGACATGCTGGGTGGGGCTGACTGGAGCCCTGCCCGATAAGGTTCCCAACACACTTTGCAAAGCCAAAAGGTTATGCATTCCCTTTCAAATATGCTTTTTCTTAAAAACAAAGAACATTCATCTCCCTGAAAAACACAAGATTCTGTTGCAAGCACTTCTGTGTAATATGTAACTAAACTCTTGATTAACTGCTAGCACAAAAGTTCTTCTATCCAGTGTTCTCTAGTAGAAAATTCACTATAGGGTGTGATTTGCTCCAGAGAAATGATAGGCTGAAGCTGTGATTCTTTGTTCCAATCCCTCGATTGTAATTCATCACCAATCCCACTCTTGCTTAAAATTAAAAGATACACAGTTAGAACAAATATCACATGTAAGAATTTGTTAACCTTTGCAGAGAGACTCCAAATCCAATGTCTTTTCACATTCATCTGGTTTGGGTCAGCTTCACTGAGTCTGCAAAGCATTGCTTATCAAATCCAGAGCCTTATTGAACCTTGTTAAATTGATTGAATCACATTGGATATCCCCTGATTTCCAGTTATGTTCATTATTTTTAAATCCCATTTGGCTTGCACATGCCTATAATATCACATGTGTACCCTCCATACATCCTGTGAAGTAGTCTCTTGCCACTGAAAGTTCTTGTCCTGCATAGTTTGTTACTCTTCAAGATACTTTTGCATCTTTTAAAAGAATTGTTACTGTTGCCTTCTATGGCTTATTTTCTTGGACCTGCTTCCTCTGTATCTTCTCTTCCTCTACACTTCAGCTCCTGGCTGCAGCTCCTCAAAGTCAAGCTGCACCCAGTCCACCAGGCATCCAGCCACTGGGAATGAGTGCTAGAGGCACCACATGCTCAGCATTTCTTATCAAAGTGGAAAAACTGACAGCAGTGTATGAAAGGCACAGCGCAAGGCATTTGTGCCGTGTAATTTCTCTTTCAATTAGTATTATCATAGTTATTCCTCTGACAAAGTTACTGCACCTTTCCACATTCCTAAAAGGTTTAATCACAGACAGGGTTTGTTTTCCTTTGTTGAGCTGGGCATAACATATCAAATTGTAGGGGCCTGATTGTTGAGCATCTGTTGTGAAGCCTGCACATCAAACACAACACTTTTCAAATTATTAACATTCTTCTGTGTATGAGCAGAAGGAGTACTAAATATGGACACAAGTACATAAAGTCACACCCACACAAACTCAGTATCTTGGCCTTTTAACCAGTTTTTAACATTATAGCATTTTATATGTTTTCTTAATGTTTGCATCCTTTCCTTTCTGTGCTGAGCTCAAGGGGTCATACATTGATATCAGCTCACCTCATTTTATCATCATATCTCGGTGTAATAGGTCTGATTGAGGGAGACCAATTGGTGAGCTCCCGAGTCTACCACCCTTACCCCACACCATAACAATCCTCCTTATTCCCAGTATTTGTGGTCTGAAACAGAAAGAAATATAGGTACTGCGTGCAAGCTCAGATTAAATCTCTAAACAAAAATACATCCTGCTTTACACACACAGCTAGACCCAATAGAGATGTACTCAAAGAAAGGCACTACCAGTAACTGACATATTTATTTCCAAAGCAATTAGAGTGGAGCAAGTTTGGATGAGGAACTGAAGCTTTTTCTCACTAGTTCCCTAATTCCTGTTTAGAAGTCTTTGCCCTGGTTCCATGTGAAGTATTGGAGTGGGTTAACATTGCAGGTCACTCTGTGGGGGGTGGGAGGGTTCTGAACTGCACATGGATCACTTTCAGAAGTGCTAGGATAAGTTTCCATTGTATCAAAGACAAAGACAATGATGAGACACAAAAACCTATTGTAAGTATCCCAATCTTAACTTATACTAAACCACAATAAAGTTATGGTATGTAGCCAGATGCAGTTGCCTTGTAGACCGTTTGTTGTAAATATCCCTCCAGCTCAGTGCTGGCAAACATTCTGTGGTTCCTGAAGAGAACTCTTCATGGTGTCACAGGCATAGTCTTTACAAATTCTGTTACCTGAGATTACATAACTGGAGATACCACAATTATAATCAGGAGACTCATTTATGTAAGGCACACATTCTGCCACATGTGACCATTAAAGTGTAAGGCTTTATACATACTTTTAATACTTGTCACTTCCTTTCTTGCATCACAGATAAGCAATCACATCCAACAGAAGCAGTGTTTATCACCTTGGAAACAACTATAAATTCACCTGAATCACAGAATATGTCAGACAAGGAATACAACTCTCCTCCTATTTCAAGCTACTCAAAAGAACTCCAAAGCTTAGAACAATCAACTTGCTATGAGTTGTTTACATTGCTTAAATAAACTAAATAAGCTGCTAGCACAACCCGTTTCAATGTAGAATGTTGAATAATTTGTTCTATATGTTTTGTGTGACATGGAACACAAACATTACATTTTTTGTACAGATGTACTAGACATATTATATCAGACATGCATCTCTACGGAACAAGAAAAAGCAATTGTACAAGTTTGATGCAAATATAATTTTGCATTATTGCCACTCACAATAATTTCCCAATAAACCAGTAGATGGAAGCTACTGTTTTTTCTGAACCTGAAACCCATCTTTAGACCAAGAGGCTAGTTCGCACATGCATATTCATCACTTGATGTTACTTCAGACAATGATGTGCACATAAGAAATGGGCCATGGCAGATGTAATGTGAAAGACAGACTTCCCTCTATCATACCAACTTCCGATGAATGCTTTTCAGTAGAGTCTGTTCAAGTGATGTAAACATGTCTAAACCAGTCTTAAAAGGAATATTAGCATGGTCATTAGATGGTGGAGAATAAATGACAGAAAGAAGAATTTACAAGGTATGAAAATGTTACCAAAAAAAAATCCTGGTGAAGCTTAATGCACAAGGTTGATATGATTTTGTGAATGCCCATGTCAAAACTCCTTCCTGAATTCTCATAGAGCTGCTGCTAGTCATTGTTAATATCAGTGACAGCTAGTGTGGTCCAGTAGTCAAGAGTGTTGGATTGGGACACAGAAGATCTGGGTTCTAGTCTCCACTCAGCCATGAAAACCCACTGGATGACTTTCAGCAAGTCATGGATTCTCAGCCTAACCTACTCCACAGTTTTGTTGTCATGAGGACAAAACAGAGAGAATAAAACAGTGGAGAACTTTGCAAGCTACTTTGGGTTTCTTGTAATATGAATAATGGAGAGGTATAAATGTAATATAATAATGATTGTCAACAATACTGGGTTAGATGAACCAATGGTCTGACTCAGGAACCTGGTTCAGGAAACACAACAGCCCACCATGTGTTGATTTACCTGCAGGGTCTACCATTCTCAGTGTCCATGGGTGTCATTTTTAAGTGGCTTGTTGTGTCATATGAACTGAAGAAGCAGTTTCCACAGTTTATTTCTGGATTGCTAAGCCCTCAAACAACCTCCGTTGCCTGAGTCAGCACCACAGAAAGCCAAGCTCCCATGAGCACCATGCAAAAATGCTGCCTACAGGGGCCCAGCAACATGAACTAATTCCCATGGGTATATGAAACTATGGTGGGTGGTTTTGCCTGGTAACATCCACCACTACAATGCAATTGATACTGTACTTAGAGTCAACAATATTTAGAGGGTGGAAACTTCCTACAAAGATTAAGTGACAAGAGCCAGTATGGCCCTCCCACAACTTCTCTTTTTGTTTCTTCTGGTAGATCAGGAGGAGAGGCTTTTCACTATTATTGTTTACTATGATAAAGCTGGCAGCTATACTGGCTTGCTAATACAGAGAGGGTAATATAAAAGCTGTTAGAAAGTCCTCTACCTGTGGCTCTTGATTCTTCCCAAGCCAGAAGTTGATTCCAAAATGGATTTCTCTCCTCCCTTCTCTACCAAACAGAGTTGGCTCCACCCTTAGGGTGGTTCGTGTTGCTTGTGGGCTGGACAGCCAGAGTGCCGGAAGGTATTTAATTTTTTTGAATTGGTGTTGAACCATTGGGCAGATTAAACAGTCCACCTCCTATTCAGACCACCATATTCTACAATGTCTTCCTTTGAACCAGAGGTGGTCTGGTTCTCACCAGCTGCTTGGCTTACCTTGCAGCTTGTTGGTGTTGGCAATTCAGCTAAGCATTCCAATCGTGCCTTTTCTTCCAGTTTAGATTCAGAGTCTGAGGTAACCACCTCAGAATGCAGTATTTTGGGAGAGCAGGCCCAATACCTATAACCAGATACCAAATACAATTTGATTAAAAAAACACTGGGGCACATACATGCTAAGTGCAAAGATATTGCTATTTTAGGGGACAGGAATCTGCTGCGGGGTGTTACCATGTATAAAAGTCATTGAATTTCCTTTCTTCTCTTCCCAAGCACTTTACTGTTGCCACTTAGTTCATGATCATCCCAGTTTGAGAAATTTAGAAAAATTAAGAGCTACTAAACTTAGACATAGTTCTAAAGCCTCTTTAGTTAAATTTATGTGCATTCGGAAGTGCTTTATGTTTGATAAAGAACAGCTGAAAAAGTTGGATCTGATTCATACAAAAACTAATTCTAAGAGAGGTTCAGCATGTGGCTTGATTCAATTTTTCTCTTAGGGACAAGAGGCTCTCACCAGTCTGTTAAATGCTAATTCTGTCCAGGGCAGCCAAACTGCAATTTCTAAAGTCTTCAGAAAGCCGGGAAACAAGGTTCCAAACACTGACTAAACAGACTGCCCAGGATCTATTTAAGATGGGGGTCTGAACTGGACCATCCACTAACTGTAGAAGTTAAGGAATAACTGCCAAGAAAGTGATAATTTTTGGTTTGTTTTTGATGGCATGCACTAACTTGCTACTTGGCTATGTAAAGTAAGAGACCAATAAAACACGTATGTGGGTGCCACATCAGTACAAACTGATGTGTACTGTAATAATAACTCCGACTGTATTATTCTGTTGCAGCAAAAGCAATGAAAGACTCTTGTGGTACCTTAATAGGCATCATCTGACAAAGTGGGCTCTGGTCCACAAATGTTTATATCACAATAACTTGTTATTCTTTAAAGTGTCAAAAGGCTCTTAATTGCATCAATTTATTTTCAGCCCACCTCCAATTAACTGATGGGATTTGAATTCAGACAAGTACCCTGATCCTCCTTTTAAATTGTTTCATTTTCTCAGTTTTGCAGTTTCCTTTCACTACCTGATACCATATAGTTGCTAGGCTGGCCTTTGAAAGCAGATATGCCTAATTCTGACCATCAAGTCTTAATAGAGTTATTTTTGCTATAGAATAATCAAATAATAATGACATGTGTAAGCCATTTCCCCCCAGTTTTCATGGTCCTAAGTTCCTCTCCCATGAAAGAGGTGTCAGGTTTGGAAAATCTCAGTCTGAGATCTTGGTTCAGTGCAACTTGGCTTGATACAGCTTCTCATACCTTTGTATTGAAGCCTTCTGAATCTCTTAGGATGGAATTACTTTATAATATTGCTGCCCATGTGAAGTCCAGCTATGGTTCACACCAAGACCCTCTCCAAGTATAAAGCCAATACCATCGGGAACAGCATAGACAGGATAGCTATACATTGGCTTTGGTGACATGTGATTTTGTCATACAAACTTCCAGCAAGCGATAAAAATATAGAGCATTTCTACAGAAGAATAGACAGGACAGCCATGTTGTTCTTGTAAGCTGTTAGACTGGCCATGGCACTGCAGGAAAAAAAAAATATAAGAACTAGAAATAAACATTACTTTCCTTTCAGCCAGGGCCACCCAAAGGTTTCATAACTGCTCCTACAAGACCAACATGTGGATGGGGTTCTGGAGATCAATGTGGCAGGACTGAGGCAGGAGCCAATAGTATACATAGCAGCTGAAATGGCAAACTGTTACAGTTGCTTCCCCTTGGGCAAACCAGTTTGAATTCTAGACCTAAAGGGCAAATTGCAGCTGATATAAGCCTGAATTAATTCAACTTCAAACATGCAAATATTTCCTTGAAATGGAACAACTTAAGTCTCAACCTAAGCTAACTGAGCCTGGCAGAATGGTCTGATTTTGCCCACTTTGACATGAAACTTTGTCTTTATTGCAGAAAAGTGGGGACTCTCAGGTACTTGCAGTTGCTTCCTCCACAGCCCAAAGGTGCCATATCACATAGAGCAGGCAGCATCAGCACTTCACGTATCTTGAATGCAACATTTCAGTGACAAGTGAAGATGCAAATAAGCGTTGGTACCTGTACATTACTGACATCCAGGTTAGACTACCATTACACATTCTTTATGGGCTGCCTCTGAAGATGACTTGTCAACTGGTATAGAATGTGGTTGTTTGGACACTCGTGAAGATAGGGCACTCAAAGCTGCTGACACAGTTCATTCATTTGTTCAGTATTATACTACTTGCACTTGTTGCTAGACAAAATTTATCATGCTTGTTTTGATCTTTCAAGCTCCAAACAATTTGGGAGCATGCTACTTGAAGAACTGCAGACATGTATAGCAAACTGTCCATGCTTTAAAGTAATCTTTGGAGGCCCTATTCAAGGGCCTGCTGGTGCAAACGATTAGGTTGGTGGACACAAGGGAAAGACCCTTTTTGGCAAAAGCCCATGTTTAATTTAATATTTAATGGAGGTTTGTCTTATCATTCCAAGTCTTCCTATGGGTGTTAATTAAAAACCTATTTGTTTCAAATTCCTATTCTTTGTTATGTATATTTTATACTAATTGCTCTGGAGCTGAATTATTTTATTTGTTTTAATAACGTAGCATTGAGACATAGGCTGCTATTGTCATTTTGGTTCTCTGTCATTGTCATTGCTCTCTTCTATGCTACTTTTATATTGGTTTTGATAGTTTTGGTTTTTATACCAATTCCAAATGTATAATGGACTAGTCTTCAGAGAAACTGGGTTTAAACCCCACCCTCAAAAAGGTGAAACAATAAATCAACAAAGAAAGAAAGATATGTTTTAATCAGAGATGCATCACTGCTTTACTTGAATCATTTATAATATTTACATTCCTAATGTTTAATATCTGATTCTAGCATATGAATAAACAATGCTGTAAAGGTTCATTTAGGAGTTCTACTTCTATCTAGCATTTGTATTTTTATTCTTATGTAAACTATCCTGGAAACATGTCTGAAAGAAGACATGTGTTTTTAAATAAATAAATAAATTAACACACGCGCGCGCACACACACACACACACACACACACAGAGCAGTCACACACATACTGAAAGCAATTACTATTGCTCAAACCCAGAATGAGTCCAACTTTTGTCTTGAGTTATAGAAACCGGGTCACTGAAATATCTTTCTTGGCAGGAAACTAATTTTGATGATGTCAATTAACAAAAACTTCTAAGATCCTGTTGAATGGAGGAACACTCTTTTTTGAAGCCCCTAGCTGCATGTCTTGGATTATTATACTAAGCTCCATCAGCAGCAACAGCCATATAAATGGGCCTTGACCAAAAAGAAAAAGAAATCAGACTAAAGAAATGATAACAAAAAAGAACCACATTGAACCCTCAAATAAATTAAAAGGATGAGAAAATAATTTGAATTTACCCTTCCCCATTAATATCTATAGATCTGAGCATTAAGGTACATAACATTTTATTTTTAAATATTTCGTAAGATTTTGCACTAACATTCAGCATTCTGGTGTTCTGATGTGTAGTAAGACTGCTTGAAGTGAGTGAGTCAGTAACTAAAGGTACGTGCATGACATAGTCAATGCTTACCAAGTTTCTATATAATTAATTTAAATATTTCTGTACAATTATTTAGATGTTTGAACACTGAAAGGCATGGTCGGGAGGATAAAAGCTAAGTGGACTATGAAGACAGCAACACCACCAGAAAGTGTGGGCAATATGTGCCCCATGGTCCATATGCCCTTGTTGTCATCATCATCACTATCTCTCTCTACACACACACACCTTTAAGAAAGTGGCATTCAGAGCACTAAAAGGGTCAAATTTACCAGTCTAATGACAGAATGGTGACTGTGATAAAATTCTTAGAGATGGGTATAAGTTTTGGAAGGGTTTTTAAAGCACCAAAGTATATGTGTTAATCAATAAAAGAACATTTAGTTCATTAACCTATGGAACCAAGTACTCTAAAAACTGGAAGGATATCCTGTCACAATTAGAATCAGAATTTTGTGGCTTGGATGCAAATTTGTCAAGAGAAGTCTTAAGTTTTATGTTTTAAATTTTTCTCCACAGTCAAATCTCTATATTTATGCTGTTCTTCCTTCTTTTCAGGGAGAGCTAAATGAACCAGGTAAAATAACCTTCTATTTCAGTAAAGACAGAATATCTAAGAGGTCCTGGGATACTTAAATGATTATAATCTTCTGAATAGCTCTAGAAGCAGGTTTTGCATTTTTGATACAAAAAAGATTTTGCTGTTTGCTTCATCCCAGAAGTATAAATATACAATTCCAAAATAAATGTAGCCCTTTTCATCTCCAGGCACTTCCATCTCTCTAGTTGGTCTCCAGAGATCTAATGTGAACTTGTTAATTCACAGATTATAACCATAGTTATTTATTTATTTATTTATTTATTTATTTATTAAAACATTTTATTCAATAACTCCCTACCTATCATAGGGCAGGAGTAAATGTGCACAATAGCCATTATGCTTGCTCCTGTTTGTTTTCCTTCTAAAGTATATACTACAAGTTGACCACCCAACTGGACCAATCAGGTTATCTTTTCTTGAAACCCAAAGTGATATCAAAGTGATTTTCCCTAGCTAAACATGTATCATAAAAGAGTGTGGGTGGGAAATATGCATTGCAGTGGAACTAAAACCCCATAAGGGAAATCAACACAGGCAGTTGCTGATACAATGTTTACTTGGATAATTCATCCATTTTCCTCTCCTGGGCTAGTGACATGAGGCATCACCTCTTCTGGATGCTAAGTGCAAATATAAAATAAATTATGAATAACTCTAGTGAAGGGAGAATTTTAGCTGCAACAGCATTTGTACAGCTCTAACTTTCAGTTAAACCAAAATTCTTGC